CCGAACTCCACTATGGGACCACGACTTAGGGTTGTAGTGGAGAGCGACTCGAATTCGCCGTAAGCCGCGGTCTCCGACGGCGTAGGTGGGCGCGTCAAGGCGATGTCGATGTGGAGATCCATCCCGTCACCGGCTGTCCAGCAGCGTGCAGAGACGAACCACGTCACGACGGTGCCGACGCAAGGTTCCATCCGACCTTCCATCCAGCGGAATCCGCAAACCCTGTGCATACGGCACAGCGCACAGGACCCCCTCACCTGGTTTAGCCCCTCGGTCGAGACGGTTGCCCGGGGTGTGGCCGCTGAGCAGAGACCAGCTAAGTGGAGCCACAGGTGAGAGTTGAGTGCCAGCAAATGGACGCTAGACGTAGTCTCACCTGCAAGCAAGTGAGCGACCACTACGACCATTACGTGAGCCCACCGCTGACACTCCCTACACCCCACCTTCCAAGTACATCTAATGAGTCGCTCTTTCATTAAGTCACGGAAGTAGCTAACCATCAGGATGTTCTTATTTTTGGAGATTTCAACGCACCTGCATTAGAGTGGACAATTTTGGTCGTCAACTGTGGGCCAACTTTCTTCAGCAATAAACGTATTGGCCTCGCACTCGACTCCGCTCTGGCGCGACATGCGAATGTGCCAAAAAGATTAAGTGAGAACCAAAGAGCGTATTTTCTGCACCTAGTTTTCACTAATGACTTTTCTAATATCGACGAAGTGTATTCCAGTGCACCTATCGGGAAAAAATGACGATTCGACACTACTATGGCATTGCTTACTTTTCTCTCATCGCGAGAGCAGAACAGAAGGCCAGTGAAATATCTGGAAGGCAGACTTGAACACGATGCAGGACGAATTGATGTCCGTAAATTGTGACCGTTTGCTTAAGGGAGATCCGGAGGACGACTGGAGTTCGTTAAAGATGATTTCACTTGGGCTAGTTCAGCGCCGCTGTCCACCTAGGCTACTAAAAACGATTATTCGACCCGCCAGGTTAACTAGGGACTTGAAAGACAGTTAGAGGAGAAAAGGGAAAGATGTAATATCTTCGGGGAAACTGGGTCACCAGTGCATCAAGAATTTCATCGTCAACGAAATGCAGTCAAAAATGCGTCCGTCAGGCAAAGAAGGACTATGAATCCAGAAGTATCCAACAGGCTGAACAGAAGCCCAAGATTTTATTTCACTCTCTTAACAGCAGATTGAAAGACAAGGATGGGGTGGCAATAGTGAAAGATGATAATGGTGTATAAATCGTTGAAAACAGCACGATCGCTGAGCACTTGAGACGGTAATTTACCTCGGCTTTTACTAGGGAAACAGAGGTTCGTAGTCGCACTGCCAGCAGTGCTATTGAGACCGCTGTTCTCGAGCTTGAGTTCATACTCTTTTAAACATTTTTCGTGGTATGGGAGCTACACAATCCCAAAGAAAAAAAGTCCTCGGGTCCTGATAGTATACCGTCTAAATCTTTGAAAGAATAGTCAAACGAACTCACCAAGCCCCTAGCATGCAGCCTCCACTTGTTGTTTGCATCGGAATGGAAGACCGCAAATATTTTTCCAAAATACAAGGGTGGTAGTCGCACTACTGTTAACAATCATCAGCCTGCTAGTTTCACCTGCATTGACTGTAAAATAACGGGTACGGTACTTAAGAAATCAACAACAAACTTCCTGGAGGAGAAAAAATCCCTCTTATAGCTCCAACACAGCTTCAGACAGAACCGCTCTTTCCTTTCCAGTTAACTCTTCTCGACTGGGCAATGGACTTGCGCAGTGGACGAGGCTGGTAGGGTCGGCGTCATCTACACGGAATTCAATAAGGTGTTCAACAAACTCTCTGAAACTGGGATAAGAGGAAAGCTGCTGACATGGATCACAGATTTACCTACAGGGAGATCGTAAACTGCGTGTGTCGATGGTTCAAAGTCAACTTATACCCCCATTCTAACTGCTGTCCACAGGCTCAGTCAAAAGGCCGGTGCAATCTATCATAATAATAGTAGTAGTAGTAATACTAACAATTCTATTTAATGCTTGTTTGCAGGCACTGTCAGGAAAAGATTAAACACAGATCTGGCCAACAGGGAAAAAACTGCTGATGAAAAAATAAAGAGGATGGTGGCTTACACTAACGACTGTGTTGACGACCTGGGATGTAACGCCGTCATGTTCGCGGACGATTTTAAACTGCGGAGAGCCATCAGATCTGACGCAGACAGGTACGCGCTTCAGGACAGTCTTAAACGCACGAGTAGCTAGTACTGCCGCTGGTTCCTCTATTTTGATGTGGACAAATGAATGGTTCTGAGACGCCTCACCAGAAAGACCAGTAAGAAGGATGATTCCCTTCGATACCTCTATGACGGGCAGTCCCTTTCGAATGTTGAGGATTAGAAAGGCCTCGGCGTCCTAATGACCTCCTCCCTTTAATCACCGTCATAGTGTCAAATGCCAGCCAAACGCGTGATGCAGGTGTTATTTGCGCTGACGCAAGGATTTGTGCAGATTGATAAGGATCTGCTTCGAAAAACCTACGGGACATTCGTTCTATCTCAATTATAATATGCCGTCGAGGTCTGGCGTCAGTGATTTAAGAAGGATCATCATTAGCTGGAAAGAGTACAGACGCTGGCTACGAAGATGGTCAAGAATCTTGATCATCTTCCTTACGAAACCAGACTGGCTGATCTAAATCTGTTCCCCCTCAATTACAGGCAACTGCGCAACGATCTCAGTAAAACCTACAGGATTGTCTTGGGCCGTGAGTGTGCCCTAGATTTTGACAAATTCTTCGAATTGGCCAGGACCGACCGTCCGCATAGTCATCCCTTTCAACTGAAGAGGAAGCTGGCCCATCTGGACGTCGGACGTAACGCCCTCTCGCAGAGGGTCGTTGTAACATGGAACGGATTCCCCTATACGGT